GTCTTTGTAAATAGGGAAGGGTGGGCTAGGAATGGGGAAAAAATAAGAACCAAGATGCATTATGTAAAGATACAATTCCCAATGAGAAATGTAATTGTGATGTGTACCTAAAATGTACCAATAAAAGAATTTAATAAAAAAAAAACCCTCAATCCCACATCTGTCACTTCTCCATAAATCCTTTAGGTTCTGACAATTAGAATGATAAAGTCCTGCTGTGAAGGCTTTTGTTTCAAACAGTGACATGTCATGATAAATATATTTTTGAGTAATACTATTGGTGCATACAGAACATTTTATTTATATTTTATTATTAGTGTATTGCAAAATATCTTGTAGCATATATTCCGTTACAAACAATTTCCAGCATTGAATTGCAGTGTTGCCATTCCATCCATTAGGTTTCATCCCTGGCAAGAACTTAATAACATTTTCTGCTTGTTCGGATATACATGACCATTTTGTAGCATTTTAAGCAGTCAGATATTGATTTACATTACTGTTTTCTTCCTCTTCTGAATCAAGGTCTTTATTTTGTACTTCTCCATCTGTAGAATCTTGCTATCTTCTTTGGCTTACATGATCCAAGTCATTGGCTACTGATGACTCACTCACCTGATGACTCACTTTCACCCTCCTCCCAAAGCTGTGAAAGCAAATTTTCGTGCAATATTGTACTGAATTGGGCTAATTCTACAAGAAAAATTAAAAGGAAACATTTAATAAAACATTGAAACATTAATGAACACAAAAGTGTAACATGGTGTATAACATGGGTAAAACTCACCTGTTTATACTTTGACACATGTGCATACATCTTGCCACTCATCATACCAAATGCTTAAACACAAACATTGCTTCCTGTGTTCCCTCAGCACAGCTACTGAGATACACAGCTGGCCAGCGTTATGCAAAAGTACATCTTTTCATTAGAAAAGTATGGTAGGGGTGTAATATAAAAGGTTTTCTTTGATAAAGGCCCAAGGCTCAATCCCCAACACTTTTTTAAAAATGTGAAAGAAAATTGATAACATTTGACCCAGGAAAACTGAAGAATTAGAAGGTAAGATCATGGAAATTTAAGGCCATGGAAGACAGTACACAGTGCTAATATAAATGTCAGTTTTGATATGAAAGATGTCATCACTGAAATGCTGGTTTCTATAGTGTCAGTGCCCTAGAGTAGCAAAAATGGAAAAACTTGGAAAAATTAACTGCAATGAGCATAAAATTGATAAAAATATTAAATTTATTTAATAGAGTTATCTCTGGAAAACATTTTATTTCATTTTGGTTTTGCTGTAGGGTCTCACTATGTAGCCCAGGCTGGCCTCAAATTTGCCATCCTCTTGCCTCAGCTTCCTGAGTGCTGAGATTATAGGTATGCATCACTGTGTCTAGCTTCTAAAGTTTCTACATAACACGCTTTCATGTTAGAGTACATTTAAATATTTTTATGCTTAAACATAAGATCGGCACCAGATGTGGTAGCAAACACCTGTAACCCCAGCACTCTGGGAAGCTGAGGCAGGAGGATTCAAAGTTCAAGCCCAGCCTGGGCAAGTTAGCAACTTGGTGAGACTCTGTCTCAAAATCAAAAAAGAAGAAAAGGCTAGGGAATGTAACTCAGTGTGAAGGCCCTGGGTCAATCTCTAGTACTGCAATAAAAAGAAATAAAATACAAAATATCCACAACTTATCTTACTAAGATCATCACTAGACTTAGGGGCTTAACCAAGAACCCTTTCTTACATTGTCAGGCTTTCTCCATTCTACACATT